AGAGAGAGAGAGAGAGAGAGAGAGAGAGAGAACGTTCAAAAGTTGGTAAGAAAAAAGTTTGTTTTCAATTTATAACTTGGAAGAAATGAAGTTTAATCCTGTATTATTAAACTTTTAACTAATATTTCATTTTAACAATAAAACTGACAAGAGATATGTTTTAATCGAATCGTGAATAAGGATAATTGCTATTTATTGGTTTGAAAGACAATGACGGGCAAAATTTTAATATCGACGGTGTTGTACGGTCGAAGTGGAAAAATGAACGAATGAACGAATCAAAAATACGTACGTATTTTACGGGATGTATGTTAAAATTTGAAATATTATTAATGACGAATAACGAAAACGCGTATATTGTTTCGCAACGTTTAGTATTGCGCGCAATTCGAACAGTGGTAAATGATTCAAATGATTCGATAATCAAAATGCTGCGAATAACGCAATCAATTAAATAAGTGTCTTTCTTCATTCTTCGCAAATTTTGAGCGTAAATAATTATCGAGAGGAATGTTATTAATAATATTTCCATAAAATCTTTTACAACGTTATTTAAAATTTTACCTTGGCTTCGACTTTTACAAATTCGTTGGAACTATATTCTGCTACAGCTTCCTTTGCAAACTGATGACCTAAAATTAAGAAAACGAGTCTGTTTAAAAAAGATCATGTAATTTATGGAAAGGTTCAAAGTTATATTCGAATTTGATGAATAAAAAAAAAAAAATAATAATAATTAATTTTATGAAAGAAAGATTGAACAGAATCAATACCTGTACTGGGTGCATATCCATTGTACAATTGAGAAACGAGGCTTTGTTGAACTGCTTCGATCACCTCTTTCGGCGGTTTTAGATTGCCGAACGTAGTTGGATCGCCTAGGCATCGATAGAGACAGAAAATCAAATTTTCCTTCTGTGATTCTAACTTGACGATGTTTCAAAATTCTAAACGATTAAGAAATTTGCCCGTTGAAAATGCCAACGTTGTATCATCGTTGAGACAAATCCAGAGAAGATCATAATCGAAACGGAATATTCTCTGCCTTCGTTCTAATTTAATTCGATAATAAAGAAATTTTGGCAGCAGATAGTTCCTACGTTTATTTTAATCTCCTTTGCAATTATCGTATTTTCAGATAAAGTTTAAAGTAAGTTTAGAGATTATTGTTAAAGTAAACAGAGAAACGGAACTTTGAACTAATTATTCGCGAATTTCATTCCAGAAACTCGATTCTATCGTCTGTTCTTATCCCAGATACTTTTTCTAATATCCCTTTCCAATTCCATTGAAATCGATCAGTTTTTAACACAAAAACTTTAATCGACAAACAGAGTTCTAGTTCTAAATTCTAAAAATACAAACGTCGTACGAACTATTCTTATTATTTCGTACGCTTGTATTTTTATATCGATTTTTTAATTTGAGCCAGGAAAATAAAATAAAATTCTCTCTCTCACACACACACACACGCGCACACATATATATTCGCGCATAAAAGAAAGAAATCTCACCGATCGACAACGAGATGAGAGATTTAGCGGGATTAGGCTCGACCACGAGGCTCTCCACGATGGATCTTATGGGATTGTGAGTGTTGCTCGCGATGTCCGACGCTTGGACGTTCCATCGATCGCGAAAAACCGGCGTCGACATCTCGAATTTGGAAATTTCAAAAGCCTCGACACCTCGAAATTCGAAACCGCGTCGTCAAATGTACCATGTGTCCCGCGCCGGATGAATTTTCGATCGATCGTTTTTTTATCGAGAATGGATTGGAAGATGAGCGAACGATGATCCCTGGGCAAACGATGTTTCATCACTGATCGAGACGAGGTGATCGCCGATAATCGAAATGAATTCGACCGGGAAACCGGTTGGATCGGATGCCTAGATATATCCCACCTTCTTTCATAATTAATTTTAATAAATTCTGCGTTTGCCGTAGATTTCCTGTATCGCGTTTCATCGCGGTGCGAGTGAAAAAAACGAGAAAAAGGTCGATTTTTCTCTCGTCAACCTTATTCTCGTTACAATTGTTATTATAAAAAAAAAAAAAAAAAAAAAATAAGAGGAACTCCTTCTTGGAGGCTAGAGGACAAACGAACCGGTCGGATTGGTCGATTAGACTTTACACCTTCTGTCGCAGTTTATTCAAAACGAACCAGTAGAGTAATTCGATTACGTAGATCGACACACCTAAACATATTTTCTCGCCATCTGTTTGTCGCAATATATATTTTTTTTTATACTTTCCGGATTTATCTCGAACATTTTTCTCTCTCTCTAGGATTCGTATCGTATAGGAGGAAATAAGATCTATTTTTTTATTAATTAAACAAGAAAAAAATGGATTTTATTTAATACATCATATATCGTATTCGTAGAATTATGTTATATTTGTTTCTTCTTATTCGTCTATCGTGATAATGTAAAAACTTACCTTTTTTTTTTTTTTATTAATTACAATTATGTAAATTATGAAAATTTAATAACAACAATTTATCGAATTATATGAATTTTATATTTCATATACGGACATTTAACTGTGAACATAAAATTGTAAATGATAAAGATTTTTTTTATAGGATATTTTTCGAGACAGAGTTTAAAAAGAATGTCGTGTTTCTGGTTTTCTGGATGGACGTTGTACCGAAATTAAAATTCGTACTTTTCGACAACTATAGAGTTTCGTAATTTAACGTCGTGGAAATCTCAAATATTTAAATACTCGAAATTTTTAAAATCACTCGTCATTCAACAGAAAGTATAGAGATATAAATTTTAACGCATAACACGCTTCAAACGATTCGATACGTATTTTATGTATAATCGACTCGAAACACGTGGTGGAATGGAACGAAGGCCGACTGGAGGCTCGTCTTCCAAAACTACGATAAATACATCGATCCCACCGGAATTCTCCGACATTTGCACGAGAAATAACGTAATAATTTATGCACTCCATGAAAGTACATCGGCCCGTGTCTTTAAACTAACACTTTCGCGTTATATCAACGACTAGTTTCTCGCTTCTAAATGTAAATAATTTACGGAGAGATAATTTACGGTAATAAATCTGACTAAAACTTGGTGTATAATCACCAAATAATACGAATAAATATACCATCTACGAAGGAAAAGTATTATTACGCGATTTAAGAATCTCGTACATACATTGTTTATCTCATAAAATAACGGTGGAGATTTCACAATGAACGGATATGAATAGAAAATAAATCCGTCCATGATTAAATCAGGACGACGATAAGGATCGACAAATTGTTCGATAAAAATTAACCACGTAGAGACGAGACGCGAAAGAAAGCGATTAACTCGTGTGCCTGATGTTGACAAGGAGAGAAAAAAAAAAAAAAAAAAAAACACGATGTGCGTGGAAATCCAACTATTCATGGTAACCAATCACGTGATCGTCGATCGACATTGACGTTTCGTGTTTACGATGGAAAAAACTCGATGAAATCCCACCGTTTAAAAAGGAAACGCAATCGAGATGCTAATAATATGATGGTATCGATCCGTGATAGTAGTCGCCGATTCTAGTCCTCCTCCACCTATCTATAGGTAGAGGAAAATCTCGGCTCTGTTTGCCCACCATGGATCCCATGTATTTGCGTTCTAACCAGCGTTCTTCTCTCGCATATGATTCAGGAACGTGATTTACGAAACTCGTTCGGTATCTACTGCCGTTTTACAAATTCCAAATGTCAATGTTTATTATTTCTCGGGTGGGTACTTACACAGCTGTTCCAAGTTCACTCCACCGTTGCTTTCTTTAAAATAAACTGTTCTCAACTGTATTTACACAATTACAAATCTCGACGATAAACTTGAAACTGGATCCGACGATATTACTTTGGAATACTAGTAAGTGGAATACTAGTAAGAAGGGTGTTTTGTCGCGTAACGAACGAAAAAATACGAGGTAAAAATATATCTATGAAATTGATTCTAATTCTCGTTGACGTATACGATCAACTAGTCGACCAGGGAAACGCAAAACTCTTTGCAAATCGTTTTTCGATCGACTCGTTCGCTCGTGATTGTTCATTTTCGACGAAATAAAAAAAAAAAAAAAAAAAAGAAAACAAATTCGGCTAAGCGACCTAGAAAAATTCACTTACAAACTTTTAAAAATCAAAAAAACACGCGAACTCGTACAATTGTTAAATATCGTATATATATATATATATAGAGAGAGAGAGAGAGAGAGAGAGAGA